AGGTGCTTTCAATCTATGCACCCAAATCTAAGGCCTAGTTTAGATGTATAAAGCTAAATTTCTGTCACTATTATTACATCTGTATCCAAACTTATGGAAATTACAGATCAGACATTAATATTAGATCTAGATGTACTAGTGACTTGATCTAGGAACTGTAATCTAGCACCACTAATTAGTTAGCCTGTATTTAAGTTTTCTCGTTCTATCAAAACCTTTAATATTAAATATAGCCTTTGAGCCTCTAGGCTTATATTATGTTATGATTACACCCTTCTCCACAGTTTGTGTAATTTTATTCGAGCAAATTTAGACTTGTCTCCTGTAGTGATCGTGTAGTTAAACCTATCGAGTTTTTAAATGTGATTTAGCAACTGCCAGTAATTTATATGGTGCTCATAAGCATGACTTCTCAGCACATACACTCATCTTCATTGATTTTCTTCTGTTGTGTCACATTAATTAACAAGAGTATGGGTGGTCTAAATAATGGCAGTTAAAGTGAAACCAGGTCCAGATGTGCCTAACTAGTCCTGAGTTGCAACTATAATTGTATAATTAAAATATAATTTGTGGTTAGGAACTTAGGAAAGTAGTATGTTTCCTTTCATCTGACAATTTGCATGTTGCAACTAAATAGTGTAGTCAGTATTCATTAATTTATTCTTTTAGCCCATTATGTCGAACAAAAAGTGGGGAACAAGGACGCTAAAGACGTGCACAATTTGCAGCTTCGATGGTGGAGTCAAGCAAATTGATGAGAGCTTTCCTTGCTGGAAGTGATGACACCAGTAAACCAGCATCTGTTTCTTTTGATGGCAGCAAAGAGGTCAAAGTGAAAGATTGTGAACATGCTATTTCACTTGAAAAAAAACAACAAAACAAACAATGAAGAAACTGTTCTCTGTTCTGTTGAAAGCTACAATAATAATAAACAAGAGGATTCCAATTTGTCAAAAACAAATCCACAGAATAATGTTACTAAGCTAAAAGAGGATAACCTAATAAATATTTTAACAAACAGGGATATTGGATTTATGAAGTTTGATAGAACAGGCTCAACAGTTGTAACACATGCACATCGCACAGAGATTGTTAAAGTTGGAGCACATGAATTTCAACATAAAGAAGGTCCATTTGATGCCAAAGATGGGCGCCGAATTCGTCTTCAAAGTGGCATTGATGAAAAGCTGTGAAGGCAAATTTAGCAAGAAAATATAAATGGAGAGATGTACTACGATGGTT